TTGCACTGTTTCAGGTACTAATTTGAAAGAAGTAGGAATATCACTTCGAAAGACACCCGCCTCTAGTGCTTCGACATGGCCTCCAACATACGTTTCTGTCGCCAATAGGTGTCCCTCGAACATGTTGCCAAAGTCTTCCTCGTGTCGATTGGGCATGATTATGTGTGCGCTATATGCTTCCACCTAATGCACGATTAGTATAGTACGTTCAACGAAAAGCCCACTTACCATCAGGAGGGTTTCACAAAGCGTCCCACTCCCTTTGCGGAGAACTTCATCCGGATTGAGAGGAATAATGTTGCAAAGTGAGAAGATGAACGGGTGTACATATTTCATGTATAGATAATAGGTCGCGACAGCATCAGAAACGGAATATTGGGCCAGTTCGTGAGGATGCTCCATCGCGTACCTAAATTAGATTAGATCTCTTCATAGGAAACAATTGGGCGGGAACTTACGGTGTCATAAGTTCTGGGTCCAGCTCAACAGGATTATAGCCCAGTTTTGCCTTGGTTACTGCTTTCAGACCTTGACTGCCCTGTGGTAGGTATGAATCCCTTTTGACCCAGCGAAAGCAGTCCATATGGATACAGTTTCGGCTTTTGAATTCGTCTTCCGAATCCTTGGAGAATCCTGTTTCAAGGAACATATCTATACCATGCACTCGGGCTCTGGCAGCGAGGAATGGAAAGTCAAACGAGTCCCCGTTAAAGGTCGCCATCACTGTCGGTTTCGCTGATTGTATATTTTCGAAAAAGCGTCGAATAGTAGCCTCTTCATCCGCTTCATTGAAACAGGTAAAAGGACCTTCATAGCCTTCTTTGGGAGTGTATTCGAAATCGTCAATATCCTCTGATACGATATCCCGGTTAACGATGAGGTAACCTTGGCCATCGATCATATAGGATATCATCATCACTTGATCTACCGCTTGATCAGGGAATTTCAGAGGAGCTTTAGTGGTCTCTATATCGTAGGCCATAACGACAGGTTCGGCGCGCTTCACGCGATCAGTGAGCTTTGTAAGGGTAGGTTGACCTGTGTTCATTGTCACAGAATACCACAGCCCAACGCGAATATCTGTTGAGAGTTAGTAGGGGTTGTTGGGGTACATGACAGAACTTACCGTTGTCAATTGCGACACGAAGATAGTAAGGAACGTCAAATTCTCGTATATCAATGATTCCCTCTCGAGGATCTTTGTCCCCTGATCCTTTCTTCAACATACTCGTGGTGTCTAGATCCATGCTCCATGCTGCTGTTGGAGCATCATCTCCATCAACGACTATTCGGCGGGATGCTGCCGCTTCAGCATTGACTACCTCAGCATATGCATCGATTGCGTTCATCTTGGCACTGTTGGCAAGGGCGAGCGGCATTATCTCCCGTCGAACAGTAAGAAGATCCGTGACATTACGGAAGACCAGTTTCAAGAATAATCGGGGAGGCGCAAGAAGATGATTAGGCTGAACAAGATTAGAATGAAATCAAAGGAGAGTTCATGAAGAAAATTACCATCTTTAAGTCCTCTTTTCTCTCTCGTACTACTTTCAAAATAGTTGTCTCGTATTTTTTGGTTAGCCACTCTTCGATTGTATTTTCATGTCCAACCTGCCTTCGATGTTAGATATGCATCGGAAACGTTGTTTGTCAATATGCATACCTTGCAGGCAATGTAAAAGTATGGCTCATAAAGAAATGTACACTTGAACATGCCGCCATCA